TAGTAGTAGTGGCAGCGGCAGTGGCAGGGGAGTTATAGTGGTAGTGGTAGTGGCAGTAGCAGCAGTAGGAGTAGCATCAGCAGCAGCAGCAGTAACAGTAGCGGTAGCCGTAGGAGTAGCAGTAGCAGCAGCAGCAGCAACAGCAGCAGCAGCAGTAGCAGCAGTAATAGTAGGCATAAGAAAACCAATCATAGCAGTAGTAGGCGATGTAGTCGTAGTGGTAGTAGTAGTCGTTGTCGTGGTGGTGGTGATGGTGGTAGTAGAAGTAGTAGTAGTAGTAGTAGTAGCAGCAGCAGTAGTAGTAGTAGCAGTAGTGGTAAGTAGTAGGCAGTTAGTTGTTGACAGTCAGCAGGTAGCAGTTTTCAGCTAGTCGTAGTTAGTAGTAGTGGCCCTTTAGTAGTAGGAGTTGGTACTTAGAAGCAGGTAGTCAATAGCTAGTAGGTAGCAGTTAGTGGTTAGTACTTAGCAGTTAATAGATAGTAGGTAGCAGCTCGTATTTAGTACTTCGTAGTTGGCGGCAAGTAGCTGGTAGTTAGTTGTACGGAGTACAGGTTAGCGGTAGTAGTAATTGTTGTAGTAGCAGCAGTAGCATCAGCAGTGGTTGCGGTAGTAGTAGCAGTAGTAGTTGCTGCAAGTAGCAGGAGGAGTGGTAGTAGCAGCAGCGGTAGTAGTAGTGGTAGCAGCAGCAGTAGCAGTAGCAGTAGCAGCAGTAGTAGCAGTAGTAGCAGTAGTAGTAGTAGTAGTAGTAGTAGTAGTGGTAGTAGTAGTAGTACTGGTAGTAGTAGTAGTAGTAGTATTAGGAGTAGTAGGGGGAATGATGGCAGTAGTGGTAGTCGCGAGAGCACTGGCAGCAATGGCCGTAGTTGTAGATGTGGTAGTAGTAGTTACCGTCGTAGTAGTAGCAATAGTAGTGGTATAGTCGTTTAGTAGTAGCAGCAGTAGTCGTCGTAACAGTAGCAGTAGTAGCAGTAGCACCAGTAGCAGTAGCGGTAGCCGTAGCAGTATCAGGAGTAGTAGTAGTAGTAGTAGTAGTAGTAGCAGCAGCAGCAGTGGTAGTGGTAGTGGTAGTAGCATCGGTAGTAGTAGTAGTAGCAGTAGCAGCAGCAGCAGTAGCAGTAGCATGTAGTTAGTAGTAGGTAGTAGCAGTTAATAGCAGTAGCAGTAGAAGTAGCAGCGGCAGCAGCAGCAGTAGTAGCAACAGCAGTAGTAGTTGTTGCTGCAATGGTCGTAGAAATGGTAGTAGTAGTAGTAGTAGTAGTAGTAGTAGTAGTAGAAGCATCTTGCTTTCAGAAGCATGTCTACTGACTACTGCACAATGGGGGTGCCAAAGCCCGTTGCCTGGGCAGCCTTCACATTCTTCTCCAGGTCCTTCGCCATCTTCTCCAGCGCAGCCTCGCTGTTCTTCATCGATTTTGGCGGCTCCCTACGAAGTGCAAGAACAATACAAGCTGCAGACGAAGGAACCGGGGCGGACACAACATTGCGTGCATAACATAACATCCTCTGGTGACTTGTCCCGGGCAACCCGCTCTCATGGCGGGGCTGCCACAAGCACGACTGAGGGACTGTATCTACCACAAGCTGTGTGGAGCTGCGCTTCGAGTGTCGAAGCCTGCCCCTCCGACACGCGACGCTTCGATGGGGCCTGGGAGAAGTGGTTGTGCCTACTGCGCGCGGAAATTTGCCCGACGATTGGAACTGATTAGAAGCTCCACTGGAAGTTCCTGTCGGATGTTGTCGACTTGGGGGTGTCGCCGGTGCCGTATGATCAGCCCAAGCAACACGATGCAATAATGCCTTTCTTGTTGCTGACAACTTCGAACTTGGTAATGTTGGGCAGTTCCGCCTGAAGCCCAAAGTAAAGCAAAACAACGATCATCACAGCCATCATCACCGCCACCGTCAATATGGTCCACATGTCCATCACTACCCTCGCGAACATCCCGAAGCTTCAAACGAACGTCCCGAATCTTCAATCAAGATCTGCAGTAGCCTGATTCCCAACGTTTGAGTGTAAATCTGGTGCCAATCTTAGCGTTACAATAATTTAGAGTCTGGCTGCGACTCAAGAGAGAGACCTGGTTAGTAGTATGCATAGAATGAGACGCTTAGTCCTGCCGCCAAGAAACCCTACCAACAACATGAACTTCAGTAGTTAGTCAAGAAGTAAGCCCTCCTCACCAGTCCCCAAAGCCCAAGCCGATTGAAGCAAGGTTTTATAGCTCAGAACTCAAGAGTCTTCGGGCAACTTAGGACGGGTATCAGTACAACAGCGAACATTCACGACAAGAGATATGACTCAGCATACTAGCAACATCACGACTATCCCTGTGGCAACGTCTTTCGGACTGCTCCTCTGCTCGGAAAAAGACGGTGGCCTTGGCTTGACTGACCACCTGGCTGGGAGCTTTCTCCTGCGCCGGTGGCTGGGCCGCACCTCTGTGAGTCGAGCTCCAATAGCATACTCATGTGATGCATCCGTACTTATGCAGATGCCAGTACATGTCAAATGGCATGCATAACGAACACAGACAGACGGTAGCTGGAAAAGAGCAACAACAGACTGCGAGTGCAGAATTGAAAATATGCAAAACGATCCTAGAAGCCAGAGTCTTGAGAGCGACTAGCTATGCAGGGCGTACGACCGTACATGCATTCGCTGATCGACACGCCGTCGTACTGCCGATCCAAATCTACCGTGCCACATGCAAGATGTAAGGTGCCATCAAGGTTCACAGATCTGGGAGAATACTAAAACACATTACTGGGCTTTGTCCTATACCCTATCGAACATCTTCACTGTGTCACATATTACATTACAATTCAATGAAACATCAGTCGGTTTGTGCGCAGCCCAGACAACATGGCATCACATCACAGTACATGCCATTGCAACAATGCATTGTGGAACAGGCAGTTCGTGACAAACACACCAGAAAAAGTACAGTTGAAGCGATGGCAGCATTTACGGAAGTTTTGTGCAATCCGCCTGTGCCATGTTTTGCAAATTTACATGTCTATGCATCTGTTTGTCAATGTATACAGAATGGCATGTAGAGAGAGAGAGCTGGAGAGAGGGAGACGAAGACAGAGAGGGAGAGGGAGCCAGCAAAGTGCAAAACTTGGTTTGGCACACTCATGCTTAAGTAGAGTATCACCAGTCCTGGAACCCAATTGTAAAAGTGATTTGCAAACTATACGGCTAATATCAGAAAACCTGCAGGAGCCTGCATGTTCGGATTCGTAGAAGTCATACTAGCGAGATGGCTGTACCGGTCGAATGTTGCGCAGTGTATGGGGCATGTTGGAGTTCAACAAAAAACTTAAGGTGTTGAAGATCTAACTACACGGGATTCACAGGACTTTGTACATGAAACATCTCGGAAAAAAACACTGGGTTTGCATCGGGCTTCTTCCCTAGACTCCGCGTTTCTACGGACATGGGAGTGAGAATTTGTGCCGGCCTAAACAAACAAACAAACAAACAATACTCCTAGATCTTAGTTGTACTCCGTGCTGACTATGTGATTTTTGCTGCAACGGAATTTTGCTATGTGGGAACCGGGTGGTTTCTACCTGTACTTTCACTTTGGGCCGTAGAGGTGCTTACAATGTGGAGTTTGCTTTGAGTGAGTTTCTGGGTTGAACCCGCGCGTAGTATGCAGTTTGTTTTCGTGGGGTCTTCCTGTGCTGCAGGAACATGATCGTAGGGAGACTGCGCACAGGGCGCACCCACTAGCCTGCAGAAACCCAAACCAAAACCCAGGCTGAACCCTGAACTCCGCGGCAAAACAGCAACCTACAAACCCCTGACCTTAGTTTAAACTCAAGTCCAGAACAACAATGACCTTTCAACTGCTGGCCTAACTTCTCAGGTGCAGGTCGAAGGTCTGCAGACGAGGCGGCCTGGATGTCACACGATTCAGGGCTTCCCTCACAAGAATGAATCGTTTCTGAAACAGTTTGGTAGCACTGGGGTGGTTACGTGCCTTGGCAATTGGATCGCGGTGTGTTTGTGGAGGTTCCGGCTCCCCCTTCCACCACTGCAACGATCTGTTCGTTTGGCACCTGTTGTGGCGGGTAGCCAACTCGGTTCTTGTGCCTACGGCGGTAGACCCACAGAACAGCACTACAAAGCGCCAAAGTTCGCAAACTCACAACTGAGCATGCATGAACACACAGCGCCTAGATCAGCAAACATGTTCGTCGCGTAATGACTGCATATTGAAAGAGGTTTTCTTCGCAGCAAGGCTTGAAAAGCCTCCGATGCAGAGGCAGAAACAGACAAACGACAATCACACACACCCACACCAGCCATACCGAAACATATTGAGCATACCAAACAAACTCCAAAACAACAGCCGAATGTATCAATAGAACGAGAAAACGCAACAAAGGACAGCTGACTGCAAGCAAGGCTGTCGGTGTTTGGAATTCTATGGTAGCCTTGGCAGTGTGTCGCACTGGTATTGCTCGTATGAGTACAAGTTGACTGAAGCATACGGTGCGAATCCCACACAACTTGAGCGGCATGCTATGGAATCCCTGCGCCATCGCATGACAGACTACATATTTCTACCAGGCCTGGAAAATTGAACACGCTTTGCCTTGCACCTTACTGCTACGCCTGCTACTGCTGGATAACACAAGGTTTGGAACCACTGCGGATACAAAGCACTGCTAAGATTCGGTGAAGCGTTCGGTTTGCTGGTGGACAACTTCCACATTAACATAGATTTGCATGCAAGGGGTGTCAGTGACGCATGCTGATGAGGGTGTGAGTTGGGCAAGTGATTCAAGCTGTTTCCTCGACAATGTTGAGTGGCTGAAAGTAACCTGATTCACAAACAGGAACCCAAACTCACACTCCTGCCTTCGTCGGCTTGGAAGTAACGGCCTGCCGAAGATGCTTTGATGCTGCCATTCATATCTATGCTTCTTTGCGGGTCGTTGCTAGGAACACATCGGTCCGGCACAAACTGCACCCCGGCACAACTATCGGAAGGCTGTGTTTTACTGCCTCTTACTGCCTCACATCTCTGCAACAATAATTATGTTGATACCGGCAAGTTAACTGCTGATGTTTCATTGGCTCCTCCGTGAACCGAGCCCTGTACTCCCCGTAAGGCTTTCCCCGGCCTTCGGCCGGGGAGATGCCCGCCGGACTTCGGCTGCAGGCCTATCACGCGAGTTTCACGCAAGGATGCACGTGAAGTTTCTGAGAATCATGCTGTACTCCTTGTGACTGCGAACAGCAACTTGCGCTGAACAATTTGATGTCGCCCCCGCCCGCAGCAACATCGGAGGAGTAGTCGTGAGCAGTGGCAGGCCCCGGGTGAGGCGGTAGGGGTAGACGGTTGAAGTAGTAGTGGGAGGATGATTTGTGGAAATCGTGGAAGTATAGGTAGCGTAGTAGTAGTAGTAGTAGTAGTAGTAGTAGTCGTCGTAGTAGTAGTAGTAGTAGTAGCAGTGGTAGTGGCAGTGGTAGTGGCAGTGGCGGTGGTAGTGGTAGTGGTAGTGGTTTTGGTAGTAGTTTTGGTAGTGGTAGTGGTAGTGGTAGTGGTAGTGGTAGTGGTAGTGGTTGTGGTTGTGGTAGTGGTAGTGGTAGTGGTGGTAGTGGTGGTAGTGGTAGTAGTGGTAGTAGTGGTAGTAGTGGTAGTAGTCGTCGTAGTAGTAGTAGTAGTAGGAGGAGGAGGAGGACAGAAACACAAGTAGCAGTGGCAGTGGCAGCTCGGTACCATATGCCAAAGAAGTACAGCCATTGTGACCTCCCTTGTCTTCCAGTCACAGTGAGCATTTCATCGCTGACCACGCTGCGCCTTGCCACGAGCTTGCCACTTCCGCCCCATGCTGGTTTCGGCTTCTCCTGACCATCCGAATGGGTACACTGCTGCGATCACGAAGACTGGATCATGATGACAGCAGTGAAGCTTGCACTCATCCTCAAGGGAACTATCGTTTTCATTCCCATTAGTTGTTGTCTTCGTTGCACTCCGGGGCGGTGTCGGGTCGCTGCGGAGGTCGTGCTGGTCGGCATCACTGTCACGTCGCTTTCGTTGCCGACGGATTGTCGTCGTCGATGTCGTCGCCGTCGTGGCCTCTGTTGTCGCTGCCGTTAAGTATGTCATCATCGCTACCTCCACATTTTACCTTCAGTACGAACATCATCATCATGATCATCACCACCATACATTGTCATCATCATCATCATCATCATCATCATCATCAGCACCACCAACATCATCGTCACCATCACCAAGCAGCAGCTGCCTCCGCAGCAGCAGCAGCAGCAGCAGCAGCACCACCACCACCACCACCACCACCACCACCACCACCACACCCACCACCACCATGCACTGGCTTTATCACGAGAAAGCACAAGATAGGCAGGGCCATCAGCATCAACACCATAATGAACCGATCCCAACTTTTGCTACAAGTTGAACTAGCCAGTCAGCTCGCATTGCCAGGGATTGCAAAGCTCAGCACCTGGTATATCAATGTCCAAGCGTCCTTGAAAGTACGTATAGAATCTTACTGAATGCATGGTGACACTAATCTAGATATCAGTGCAATGAGTGCTACAGGCATCATGGAAACTAATCTACGGAGGCCGGCGAGTGACCAGCGAAATCTACAAGAGCAAGAGCAGATGCGCGTCTGCAGGGCTTTGCGACACATGTATCTACAGGCTGCAGCACCGGATGCCTGCACCGCCGCAGACAGTGCGTCGGACGTCGCTTTCGACACCTTTCCGTCTTCACTTCGTTTTGGAAGAAGACTCCGCTGTTACACCCCAGACCTTTTGGGTTTTGGTCTTCCTGTCTGTGATGTGCCTACAGCCAAGAACAGGTCACAGCTCCATGACTCATCTCATGGCAGGATGTGCGTCCCAAGTACAACAGGCCAGCTTCGTCTTGGTGCTTGTAGCAGAACTTCCCAAACCCTGCCGTAACACTTACTCGTAGGGCCACTGTAGTACAGGAATTAGGCCGGTCCATCCCGGTGCTGCGGCTCCCTCTGTGGCACAGTGCACATGTCCACTGCCCCGCCGAATCCATCTTAGAATCCAGTGCTTCGGCGCTCACGAACTCGATGAATCACGCCCCGCCACAGACGTGATGTGCTATGCGTACTTTGGGGTGTTTCCGTGTGGAAGTCCCGTGCTCATTTCGGCCTTCAAATCGCTCGAAGTAGCAACAGCCACGACAATACGGCTCCTCTGGGCAAGATTGGCACCCCAGAACTGCAAGGCACCGTGATCACGACTTGGGGAGGCCGGCATGCACAGGACTGTGGCGGGGAAAACACCAGAATCGGGGGCAGAACAAGATTGATGAGGTTCTGTGCTAAGCAGCCCCCTGCCGGCTACTGCAGGCTCGTCTCGTTTATCTCTCTGGGACTCTAGGAATTGCGAGGTGTCCGGACGGAGCACATGAGTGCATGGAGCAGCCTTCGAATTGATCGGAGGATCTTCTTCACTGTGGCAAACAACCTTCCCCTAGATCCCCAAACAGTCAAGCCATTTACACTGCCAGCCAGCGGATTCCAACACGATATGTCTACAGGGTCCACATGTTCGGAGTTGACGTAGTCGGAGATCGTTTACATCAAAGTCTCGTTGCGTGATCAACGCAGCATTCCAAAGGCGATTCTGTCTTCTGGAGGTTCCCCAAGCATCGCAGCGAAATCACCACCAGCCTCAGCGCTGTGACGTCGACTGCCAGGCTGCCTTTGTTGGCGCTCGTCGTGACTTCGTGCACGATGCCTGAGGATCGCCGGTGAACGGACCGGTACTGTAGGTCCCGCCATGCCTACAGTGCCTACAGACAGGACATGGAAGAATGCGTGGGAGTGTAGAGTGCCACGACTGGCATCTGGGGCTCGGGCTTTGCCGCTTTGGGCTTGGCTGAAGCTGCCTTTCCGGACTGCGTGGCCTTTGCCGCGGGCGGCGCTGCTTTCGGCGCCGGCGTTGGCTTTGCAGTCACCTCCTTCTTCGGGTGCGGCGCTGCTTTTGGCACAGATGCTGCCTCCAAAGAGAGCTTGAGAGTACCAGCAAAGCTCGAGATTAGTTAGCTTGGAGTCACACATCTGTGTCATGGTTTGGGGCTTCCGTAAAGCCGCCGATTGCCCCAGCCACAAACACAGCAGAGCTCCCTTGTGAGACTGCAATCCGTTGACGAACGGTAAACTTGATGAAGTTAGTTACAGTCTTGAAACGTCATCCATTTGTCGTGCCTTGGGAGCCGGCCGCCGCTTCGCTGCGGAGTGCACGGTCTGGAGCAGGTCAGGCTTCGCGAGCATGAGGGTAATCCACAATGCTGCAAACCCGCAGAGGTTTCTCGGCTTGCGAGCGAGCACTTGCAGCGCACCCCTAGACCAGAGCGACAGTGTTGCTTGTCGAAGCATTGCCTAATTGGCACGGATGGGTTCTGGAGATTGTGCAAACCGGACAGTGCTCAACCGTGCAGCAAGCACGCATGCTCATCCCAGCACAACGGCGGACAAATCACGATTTGGAGAAGTGGGGAAAAGCTTGTAGAGGTAAACCGGTAAACCCTTCTTAGATTCTTAGATCCTCTGCCTGTGCTGTCATGCCTGCTTTCGGCGCTTTGCCAGAAGTCGGCTTCTCGCCTTCGGCTTTCCTGATCTGATGTGTTTGGGAAAGTAACCAGTCAGACATTTCGGCCTCATGCATGACCAAACTGGCGCTGTGACCGATGCTCTGAGAGAAGGAACCTTAGAATCCTTCAGGTCCATATGCGGCCACGGCACGACGGGGTCTTTGCAGTCGCCAGCCCCGCGGCTGCTGCAAGGCTGGGGGCGACGGCCTCTGCATCCTCAGCCTCTTTGGGCGCTTCAATTAGGCTGGGAGCCTCTTTAGCTACCTCTTTGGCAGAATCTGGCGGTGTCACCACAACTTCAACCTCCATTTTCGGAGGTGTGTCGGTGGTGGCTTCTGCTGCGGGCGCCGGAAGATTTGCAGCCACCTTTTCCCGAGCGGCGTCTGCCAAAGGCTGTGGAGTGCCTGTAATGCCTGGGTCTGGCACAAGGAATTTGGCCGGTTCAAGCTCAATCACGGTCTCCGGATCTTGTACTTCTGCTTCGGCTGCAGGCTCAACCGTGGCCTCCGGCTCCTGCGCTTCTGCTTTAGCTGCAGGCTCAATCGACGCCTCCGGCACCTGCGCTTCTGCTTCAGCTGCAGGTGGTGTCACGGCTGTCACAGGCGGGGCTGCCACGGCTTCGGGAGCAGCAATGGCCAAACGATCTTCTCTGGCAGGTGAGTCTGTGTCGAAGTGCACTACATCTGGCTCTTGCTGGAAGCGAACACTGCTGCCTGACATGCTTCTTCCACCCATCCCTCTGGTTTCGGGAACTGCTTCGCCAGGCTCCTCGTCCAGCTCCTTCGCACACGGTCATTCGTTTCGAACGCACTCGCTCTTGTTCATGCAAGGATTCCTACAGAGCAGCGGAAGCCAGCGCTGCATAGCCGTACAGCTCATCATGCATGTCAAAGGTGAAGCTCAGCAGGAGTCGATAAGTGCAATGTTTTCTACCGATGGTACAGCATAGTTAAGCAAGTCTGCAGTTGCTACCCTTGAAGTCATTTTCCCCACTTCGTCGAATGTGGAGCCCTCGTGCCTGTACCGGCTCTGCGACACTGTCGAGGCTGGCAGCAGCTGGACCACCTCAGCGCACACTCGACACTGTTCGGCACAGCCTGTAACCGCGGAGCCTGGCCACTTCCTGCTTCTCTTTACAAGTAGGAGACGGCTTATTGCTTCGCCCTGCAGGCTGAAGAGGTAAAAATCCCAGGCACTAGTTCCCGCGACGCCTGGGAGGACATGGTGTATGATCATCGTGTCCTGCCGACACTCCTATGCCGAAGCTTCTAGGTTTGTCTCCTACATGCAGCAAACATCAACAAATGGAGATGTCTCAGTCCATCGCGAGCAAACCTGAACTTCTAAAACAGTTCAGAGACTCGCGAGTTTACTGGCTTTGAGGTCGATTTGGGTTTTATTAGTCCCTCCGCTTTGATCTCAACTCTACCCTTGAAGCTGTAGCTTTGGCATCCTACCAAACGGCCTTGCTCTCGCTTGGTCAAGTTCAAACAAGATATCCTCGTCCCAGGGAGATGGTGATGCCGGAGAAGGTGGCGAGGGCGGATATGTGACCTGCACTTCATCGGCGCTGTCGCTCCTGGCAGAGGCTCTAAGGCAGCGCAGAGCGTGCAGGAGGAAATAAGGCTTCGCTCTGCTGTCGCTATCACCTGTAACTGCACTCAGTCACCCACAAACCCTCGTCCTGGTCTCCCTCACTGCCCCATCAACTGCACCCGGAAGGTCCTGCATCAGAATGATACGACGATGACAACATTGGTGTAATGGCGATGCCGAGCTGACGACGATGACGGTGACGAGGAGGAGGAGGACGACGACGACAACGACGACGACTACTATTATCATTATTATACTAATATTGACAAGTGCCATTACTATTATGCGTATTGCTATGAGGACGATGATGACCGACAACGATAGTGACAATCATCGGAATCATTTCGATGATGCTGCTAATGGTATTGTCTTGCTTACACAATGCTGACGACGATGCTGCTGCTGATGATGATGATGATGATGATGAAAAGGACGAAGACGATGACGATGAAGATGGTGATGATGCTGGTGATGATGATGATGATGATGATGATGATGACGAGGATGATAGTGGTGATGATGATGATGACGATGATGATAGTGGTGATGATGATGATGATGATGATGATGTGGCGATGATGATGGTGGTGGTGTTTATGGTGTTGATGATGATGTTCGTGATGACGATGATGATGATGATGATGATGATGATGATAATGATGGTGATTGTGATCATGATGATGGTGGCGATGATGATGACGGTGATGATGATGATGATGATGATGGTGAAAATGATGGCGATGACGATGACGATGGTGACGACGATGACGATGGTGATGCTGATGATGATGGTGATGTTGATGATGATCACGGTTGTGCTTGTTGTGAGACACGTCTGAACATCATCATCTTGATGGCACCATTGTGAATGACTATCTGGACCCCTCTGCCTTGATGAGACGTTGCTACGACCACCTAGAGACCTTCGACCGTCTTGAAACAGCCGAACTGGAGAGCATCTCACCTGAAACTGCAACGGACACCTGTCCTGAGCTGCCGAGGCAGGCTTGTGACCTGCCCACCATAAGCGCATTAATTAAACCACTGAGGCATCGGCCTCTGCAATCATTTCTGGGATAGTGGAAGAAATAAGTGGAGCCAGACGAGGAGAGGAAAAGTGCAACGTGCTTGATCACACATGTGGCTATATGTCACTGGTGTGGCCAGTCTAGAAACACGAATAATGACAACAGCCACAGCGACCATACCATCACAAGAGCTACAGCAACAACCACGACGACAAATATACTTCAACAAGGGGTGTATCAGTGCATCGATATATAGCTCGTAAATAGGACTGACTAACTGGCGCTACTTTGTGAACTAGGCAGCCAGTCTCAGTGCAGTAATCGTCGTCGTCCTCCTCCTCTTCCACCCACTCCTCCCTCTCCCCGTCAGGAACAACAGCAAGAACAACGACGGCCGGTCGTCAAAATCATCACCATAATCATCAAAAGCATCATTATTCTCTCCGTAGCACCTCGAATGGAGACGTTGCTCCGAGGTCTTTGACTTTGGGAAGCGACTTGCTTTGAGAATGCCTTTCCATTCTTCCTCAAGATCCCTCTCTCGGCGCTCTTCACGAGCATGGAGGCAGCTTTTTCGTCTGAGCCGGCATTAAAGGAAGTTGGGGTCGGCAACGAAGTTGGGTACGTGGGTCGTCTCCTCGCAGGTACCAGGGGCACGCATGTTGTAACTTTCAGCCAGCTTGGTTTCAACAGGCTTTGAGCTACGTCTTACAACGATCTTCTGGGGAGTTTGGGGGGTGCATATCCCAAGCTTCGAGGCCATCGCTCCTTGTCTGCAGAGAGGCCCATCCAATCCGTCCGCGCTTCGATCTCTATCTCGCTCGTTGCTTGCTGGATCCGCACCTGAGAGGTGAGGCCAGGATGCAAAAACCGCTTTTGCGCTCCCAAAGAAAACCTTTGCACGATGAAGCCGGTACTATGACATCTCAAAGCTTCGATTCATGGCGTCCACGTATGGGAAGTTGAGATACTCGCCAAACCCGATACTCAAGTACCGGTACTATCCTTCTCCCCCCAGAACACGTGAGAGACAAACAGGCTAGAGAGGTCTTCTTTGCGACACCAGGGTGCGCGGTAAGTGCCCTGCGCGTTTCCTTCAGCAGTAGGTGAAGCGACCTGACCACTCGCGGCAGACACATAGTTGCGGTTAGGACAGCAAAATTCGCCAGCATTCACAGATGACTATCAGCAGGGCTGCCGAAAAAAGCCATAGACCACAGCTCCAGTTTACGGAACGACGAAGGAAAAACGAAGCAACTTCCGACTGCAGGCAGCGAGGGAGGGAGGGAGAGAGAGAGAGTGACAGACAGAGACCGCGAGCGAGAGCGAGAATAACAGAGCGAGAGAGAGAGAGAGAGAGAGAGAGAGAGCTAGAGAAAGATTGAGCTCTACACTTGGTCTACACACGCAGATTAGATCAATACCCCTTGCATACTTGAAGACATGATAAGAATCTTGCGCAGTACTTACAAGAAGATGAACAACAGCTTGGACTGACCCTCAGCAGCAACAGCAACAAACAAGCGAACAAACAACAAAACAAAAACATCAACAAATCAACAAAGAAGGCCGACAGACAAAAGAGGAAAATAACAGTAGATAAACAAACGGACAAACACGCCCTGCCCCTACCTACTATGGAGCGAAGCAGGCTTGTAAGAAACCGGTGGGAAAGCGAGACCCTACAAAGCAGCAACATGTTGCAAACTGAGCGATTACAACCAGCCACCAACAACAACAACCACATCCACAACCACAACAACAACCACCACCACAACCACGACGGTAACAGCACAATAAAGGCAACAAGGAGGACAAACAAGCAGCACTAGTTGCAACGGGGGGGCGTACTATTTCTCAATCAGCAGTAGAGGAACAAAAAGCCGTGGTGGTGGCATTACTGGCAGAATGCATCACAAAACAAAGAAGCAAAAACAAGAACTAAAAGCAATAATATAGATACTATCAGCTTGACAGGAAACAACAGTGTGCGGCATTCAGCTTCCAAAATGTATAAGTCGACAGAAAGCTACAAGCACAGACAATGCAATAATAAAAGCCGTTCTGCCCGCGTACGAATATGCAGGCGAACAAAAACTTCAGGTCGAGTTCGCTTCCATGAGGTTCCATAATCTAGATTGTCGAAGCTCTTGTCCGTCTGCCCGGAGATGTTGCCATGGATACATTGAGGCACTAAACGCTTCAAAACCAGCCTTCACCCCACGCCCTCGGCCCCAACACCGACAACCCCGGGCGGCCTGCCCTTGCACACGAAATGCATCGCCCGCCGCAAGACTGCGGCTCGTTCCTTTGAAGACTCCTCATGGCAAGGTGTAACTTAAACTGTGCGTTGCAGGTTGATGACAAATATCTTGTGCCTGATACTGAACATGCACATATGCAAATCGAACCATGCAGACACACACGTTTGCACGTGCACATGCGTCCTTTCGTGCAGGCGGATGTGAAGTTGTCTTTCACGGCAAAGAATACGTCTCGTGCAACAAACGGGATATTCACTAAATAGCTCCATCCAGACACGACACGTAAGCTTGAATGCTTCGGATATAAGATGTAAATGCTTTTGTATGTCCATGTTTAAGAATGTATACATACTACACATGTACGTATGCATGTACGTATGAGTGCATGTATGGATGTATGTATGTATGTATGTATGTATGTATGTGTGTGTGTATGTATGTATGCGTGCCTGTATGCATACTTACACACATATGTACGAACATACATACATGCATACATGTGCACACACACACATGCCTGTGCATGTGCATGTATTTAATATAAAATTACATACACATACTATCTCGGAGCATGTGTGCGCATGTTTACACATGTATGTACACCAAGCCAATATCTGTGGAGATACACGGATGAAAAGCAGGGTGAGCTATGGTGAGCTGTGTATCGACACAATCAGGATTCTTGTGGGCAAGAAGGGTGTGATGGGGCAGCTGTGTCGATGCTTCGCAAAACGCTTCACCACATACTGCCTGCCTCCCACACCCTCGCCGGATGCAGCGATGTGACGGTGACCTTTAGAGTCCACAACCTTCACATCGAACACTCTTGGCTTGGCAGGGGGAAGGGTTGGGAGACGTCAGAAGTTTATAGCGCAGCACCGGACCTCGCGTGCGGCGGCCCTCGAACCTACACCGAGACATTACCCACCACCACGACATGTATGTTTGTACTACTGCGCTACTGCTACTGTTAATGCCGCTGCTACTGCTATTGCTACTGATATTACTACTACTACCACTACTACT